GATACCTTCCATCACTTTTCTATTACACCTTCCCGCCATCACTATCAATTATCCCTGCAACCACAAATCACCAGGACAAAGCTCATTTCTCACCAAAGTGTATCCTGAATAAAGCTGAGGCCTAATTGCGCTCGTTGGTGGCAGGAGACATAAAGCGTGGAAAAAATAAAGAAAGGAAAATCAATGCCTTAACTAAAGAAGCCAGTGAATTATTGATGAGGAGCATGTAATGGGATCCCAAGTGTCTGTTTCTCCTTAGCTTGGACTGCTTGCATTTCAGTTGTGGCCAAAGTAGAAACACGGGAGGTGACATAAACCACCCACTAACATCTCCGCAGGCAGATTAGCTGACCCGAATTATCTGGGGCGCTGTGGCTCACACTCATGGCAGTGGTGCACACGCACAAGTCCTATACGCAAGTCTTATGTGCACAGATGTAACAGTTAAAATGCATACACGCTTTCACGCATTTAAAGTTACTTTAAAAAGTCAGATTTTCAAGAATTTGTTGCCTCTGCTGTTTAATTTTGACAAGCACAACAATAAAGTCGTATTTTATGGTGGCACTAAACTGAAAATGTTTTCTCAGACCACTGCTTAGATGTTTTTAGTATTGCGCTGTTTAGCATTCCACACCATGTTGTAGCAAAGAGAACCACAGCTTAGTGTACTGATTGGGCAACTGACCATATAAAGAATCTTAGTTAACATTATTAATATACTGCACTGTGCAAAAGTCTTGAGTCACTCCCCATTTCTTTATTTTTTTGGACAAGTGGAGGACAATAGAAGGAGCCGCACCGCTAAAAACCAGAAACAACAAGACAATATTTACAGCAGATGAAAAACTGAAAGCATTGTCCTTAAGAAATAAGAAAAAATCCACCAAATACCTGACACGTGACATCTGGTTGATCCATTTCATCGACGCCTCGTCTGAAAGGGTTTCAGGATGGAGGTACAGCCGTCTGTAAAACACGGTGGAGGCGATGTCATGGGTTGGGCATCTTGTCAAAATTGATGTTATTATTAACACAGAAAAGTACCATTAAATTTTAACCCACCATTCACTACCATCTGGAAAGCAACATGTTTTTCAGCAGTACAGTGCCCAGTTAGTAATAATAATGCTGCTGTCCAGAGCCCAGACATGAATATTGCTGCTGCTTGCATTTAAATAAATGCTTTGAATGTCCTTCAAGGAGCCCGTAGTACTATTCCTAAAGACTACTTAAAGAAATTATAGGAGAATAAAGGTGGTCATACCAAATACTGACTGTTTCCTTGCAAATTATAAAGAAATGAAGCTTAAATTAAGACTTTTACTATTATATTCTCTTCCTCTCTAAATCTGAACATTTGGGGGATTTTTAATAGAAAGTGACACCGGAATCTAGTGCATGTTTATTTGACTGCAATGAGGGCTTTAACCTCGATTGTTTCGTAATAATTGGGAACAAAAGATGTCGATGATGAAAATTGCAGTGACATTTCAAATTGATGCTTTTGTTTGGCCAAAAGCTATTACATTAGCAAAAAATACAGTGCTCGCTTTCGCAAAGTGAAAACAGCAAACGCTGAACATTTTTGCTTGATGAAAGACTCGAGCTATCAGTTGATTAATTTTCTGTCATCTGAACTACTCATTCAGCAAAAACAATATACCGAATAACTTTAGTTGTGACATTCAAAGCTCTTCTTAACACAGAGGTCTGTGTGATCTGTCGCGCAGTCGCATATTTCTCTCGCAGCAGAGCACAAATTTCAGTTTATCGTTGAATAAATGATAGCCTTGAATTTATTGAAGCCTTGAGATATTTAGTAAAAGCTGGAACTAAAGGAACAATTACTGCCAAAATGTTTGATTTCTTTCACACTTTTTACCCAGTAATATACATACTAATTAGAATTTTAACTATGCGCAGCAATTCACATGCAAAACTCCATTCCCGCTGTATTTCAGTTTGAGGAATGAAAACCTGCATTGTTTACCCACACCGTCATTGTGCTGCTTGTTTTTGCTGCAAGAGGAGAAGGCAGGCTAGCTTCTCCTTAGCTGGAGAAGAGGCAGAAAGGAGGAATGTGAATGAGAGGTAGAGAGAGGGTGGCCAGGTGAGGCCTGAAAGCTGCCTTTGTGTGGCAGCTGGCAGAAAGAACACTGACCTTCACTGTGAGGTGTGTTCTCCACACAGACACACACTGTAGGTACTGTACAAGTTTGGAGGAGTTATGAGGGGATGTTTGGCAAAAAAAAATAAAAAAAATACCGTTGCAAATTTACAAAAAGCCTTCGCTCAGTCCGTCCGCGGTGAATGGACGTCTCAGAGCCATAAAGCGGTTGCTGTGTTTCCACATCTCAGTTTTAGATGCTAAACGCCGTCTTATTTTCTCCTTCACTGCACCTCAACTGTATCTGCTTCAGTTCAACTGGAGCTTGAAGAGCTCGATAGCATCAAGCCCAGTCAGCTGCTCCCAGTTTCTCATGCTATCACAGAAAGACTATTCCAGAAGTGAGCGCACATCATAGTACAAATGAGCCTGTAAATAGCCATCCCTTTTTATAGGAGTGTGGGAGCCGGAGAGGGATGAAGGTACACTTGACGAAAAGATGATTGTGATGTGTGGCTGATCTCGGTTGGATGCCTTTTTGAAAGTGCGCTGAGTTAACTTTTCCCAATTTTCTCCTTATGAGCTCCAGCCGAAGAAGGATTTTGACAGCTTAAAACCCTCCGCTGCCTGTGAAACATTACCCAGCTGTGGTACTTGAGTGCTATTTGATTATATGTGTGTTTGTGTGTATTAAATGTGATCGGGGGGTTGCAGATTACATATGACTAACCGAAATGAAAAGCTATACCCAGTGGGCTATGAAAAGTGTTAGTCACGGCATCTGCTGAGACAGCAGTTAAACAACTATAACCCAGTGTGTTTCTCAGTGCTGGTTGCAGAGCTGTGATGCTGCTCTGTGTACTGATGTGTATTCTTGTTTGTTTACTTCTCCCCAGGAGGGCCCCTGCAGACAGCAGTTGTGCCAGGCACTATGAGGCAGCAAGCTTGGCCTGCGAGAGCGGAGAAATCACCCTTCATCACTCTCGGCCGGGCTGGACAGCGGAAGAAATGTACAAAGCAGCAGCGCGTGCTACAGCAGAGGCGGGCTAATACACACATCTGAGCGTACAGTTGAAAGCAAATGGGAAGGCCAGAAAGAGACTGAAAGAGGGGAGACTTAGACTGTGTCCTTTCTAAATGGCAAAGTGGACTGGGCCACATTCAGAGGCAGCGATGTCCTTGTTAACACATTTTCCTCCATTAAAAGCTCCTTGTTAGAAGTTGCAAGTTAGTCCCAAACCCCTGTGAGGCTACAGAGCTGAGGGGACAAAGAAAGTAAAAACAGAGGACAAAAGCGAGACAGAGCAGGGAAAAAGGAGACTGTCACAGGCCCTCATGCAGGCGCGTAAGAAGTATGTTCTGCTGGGCTTGTGTGCATGCTGCTGGCTGGTCCTCTTTTACTGGGGTGGAGGAGTCCAGCTGCGTCTCCTCCGCCTGCTGACACGCCACCGGGGTGATGTGATGCGCCCCTGGCCCAACTGGACCGACAGAGCCTTTTTGCCCCGCTATGCCCACTTGGATGAACTTCAGACAGACCCTGGGATGGCAGAGTCACCCCGCCAGCGGCGCCAGGCATGGTCTGCCATTTATAAAGACAGCCGCTGTCGCATGGAGACCTGTTTTGACTTCTCTCGGTGTCGCCGTAGAGGAAGGGAAGGGTTCAGAGTGTACATATATCCATCGGAGAAAAACGAGCGCGTGTCGGAAAGCTACAGGAAGATCCTAACATCTATAGCCGAGTCACGGTACTACACCTCAGACCCCCGTGAGGCATGTCTGTTCGTGCTTGGTATAGACACCTTAGACAGGGACCAGCTATCAGGACAGTTTGTGCCCAATGTGGATGAACGTATCCGTGGTTACCCATTGTGGAATGACGGGCGGAACCATCTGATTTTCAACCTGTACTCAGGCACGTGGCCTAACTACACAGAGGACCTGGGCTTCAACATTGGCCAGGCCATCTTAGCCAAAGCCAGTCTCAACACAGAACATTTCAGGCCGGGCTTTGATGTCTCCATCCCTCTCTTCTCAAAGGATCACCCACAGAAGGGTGGAGAGCGGGGCTGGCTGGTGAGGAACACAGTCCCACCACGAAGGAAGTACCTGCTGATGTTTAAAGGGAAGCGCTATCTAACGGGCATCGGCTCAGACACAAGAAATGCGCTTCATCACATTCACAATGGCAAGGACATTGTGTCGTTGACAACATGCCGCCACGGGAAGGACTGGGAGAAGCACAAAGACGCCCGCTGCGACCACGACAACCTGGAATACGAGAGGTAAGATGGGCCACAGTGAATGTATGAGTCAATGTGGCATTATATAAGGATTCATAAGAAACGGTGGAAAGGTTTATATTTTTTATTAAGAAATACACAATGGGGTTGTTCTGCTTGCCTTCCCTTTTGAACTTTACATGCTGTTTTATTGGTCTTTTAGATGTAGCTGATTTTCTACAAGCAGTGTCAGGGGTAGCTTTCGTGTCCCACTGGTTATTTTTGTCTCTCTTTTATTGCTGCACACTTTTTGACTGCCTGAGCTTATGATATTTGGCAGTTGACACTAACTCACGTCTCTGGAAATTTAGATTCAGGTCACAACTTCCAGCGATCCTTTTTATTCTTAAATTATATCAGTCCTATTAAAGAGTGATTGTAATACTAACTTGTGGTAACTGACCTTGAGCACCCTTACTATTAAGGGTTTCAAATATATTACAGTGTGATAGATGGGCAAATTAGGGAATTCAGCCAAAGTGCACAT